GGAGCGGGACTGGCCAGGGGATATTGTGGGGGTGGGAGGGCAGCCTGGCGGGAGCAGGGCTGGCCGGGGAGTTCAGGTAGGGTTGTCAGATGGTTTCAACAAAAATACTGAACACACTTGACATTACATCACAATCTACATTACATCTTATTTAGAAAATACCGGATATTTCTATTTTCTCCATTTGTTTTGAACAGAAAGCTCAAATACTGGACTGTCCGGTTCAAAACCAGACACCTGGCAACCCTATGCAGAGCCTGCAGTGTGGGTAACCAGGTAACCACTGAGATTTTTAGTATTTACACCGTTTCTTTTTTAACGGATTTTTTACACCTCTAATTTTTACAAGGGTATTTTGCAAGTCATTGTGTGTGACATCAGAAAGTTTGGTTCTCATGGAAGGGCCAGAAAATGTGTCTAGTAACTTCTGACTGCAAGGATCTCCAGCAACCACTGGGAGGCTCTGTGACCTCATTTTGTTAGCGATCACAGCTAAGCAGAAGCAATAGAATAGAAGCGCAGCTGTTTTTGCACAAGAGGCTTTTGTGCAAAAACAAGCAGTGTGGACGGCTCCTTTTTGCGCAAAAGCCCTCTCTTGTGCAAGAGCCGTTCTTCCTGATATTTTGAGGAAGAACAGCTCTTGCACAAGAGGGAGGTTTTGCGTAAAAAGGAGCTGTCTACACGGCTCATTTTTGCGCAAAAGCCTCTTGCGCAAAAACGTCTACTCATTACCTATGCAAACGAAGCGTGGCGATATTCCATGCTGCACTTCATTTGCATATGCTTTTCTGCAAGAAGGCTACATTATAGACGTAGCCTAAGATGGCAAAGATATGGTGGTCTGACTGTGTGAATCTTCCACAGGGCTCTGGAACTCAATTGCTTGTCTCACTTTTAGATGCAGCAAACTGCCTGTTTTGCTACAAAGTGCTCTGCATCTATGTGGGCTGCATAAAGTCTGGCTGAGTCCTTTAATTCATCCCATTTGTCTGAGCCTTTGCAGACACCACATTTCCCCACCCAGATCTACAAATGCAATTGGTAGTATTTATGAAAGCCTGACCCTTCTAGTTTGTTCTGTTGTGTCAGATATCCTCATGACTGAAGATGCTGCAGGTGCATGAGGTTCAGGGTGGAGAACTCCCTCCCATCCAGAGGTTACTCATGGCTTTCTTGTGAGGACAGGGCTCTGAAGCAATGCTAGGTTCAGCTTTCAGCTGCACCCTGTCCTGGCACATAGTTAATTTGCAACCCAGGGAAGCTACCCTGCAGTTCAGGCAGGACTCCCCAGGAGGAGAACACTCCCTGCCCAACCTAAATGGTGACCCTGGGTGTTGGTAGGGAAGTAAAAAAATAAAAAAATTAACCATGTAACCAATCAGAAGTCCATCGATTACAGTGTTAACCATGGTGGTCGGCTGCTGTCCCCGCGGCACAGTGAGCCTGGCCAGGCTGGAAGTGCTGTGCCTTAGGCAGGGGTTTCCTCCAGCCCAGCTGGATGCTGATTCATCAGTTACAGGTAAGCTTTATCCGATAAGGGCGATGCTTACCAGGTAACTGGTCACCTGTTTACATCCCTAGCTGTAAGCATTTCAAGTTTTTAAAAAGTGTGTGTGGGAGTGAATGGCCTTTTTACCCCGGTCTCCAATGCCTAGAGGGACTGGCTGGGGATATGCAAGAATGTGTTTTAACACTCAGCATTCACATGTTTAAACATATGCTTGGAAAATATTTCTCCCCTCCTTGAAATCTCTGGGATTTCCAGAGCAGTGATAATGCTCACGACCTCCCTGAAAGAAGCCTTCTACCAAAGAGGAAAACATATGCTAAGAGCTATAAGACCCATTGATTAGAAGTGATGACATCTCAGCTGACAGAAGAGAGGTATTTCCCCTGCCCAAAGCGGTGAGGCAAGTAGCCAGTTCTGTTTGGATTTGGACTGCCTTGTTTCACTCAGCAGAAGCCAGGTGAGGTAATGCAATGG